GTATCTAATTCCTTCAATACCAATGTGTTCTAGTAATGTGAATTTTTCTGTGTTGGTGTTGTGTACTCACATGAATAATATGTTTGCGATGTTGCTCTGAGTGCATATCCACACCGGGCGAGCTTGAAAAATATGCCCGGCCACGGTGGGATTCGAACCTACGACCTTTGGAATACTAGCCCAATGCTCTTCCAACTGAGCTACGCGGTCAGGACAGTTCGAGTAAGTGATATTTCGGAACAGTATCTAGTTCCTTCAATACCAATGTGTTCTAGTAATATGAATTTTTTCTGTTGGTGTTGTGTACTCAGGTGAATAATATGTTTGCGATGTTACTCTGAGTGCATATCCACACCGGTCGAGCGTGAAAAATATGCCCGGCCACGGTGGGATTCGAACCTACGACCTTTGGAATACTAGCCCAATGCTCTTCCAACTGAGCTACGCGGTCAGGACGGTTCGAGTAAGTGATATTTCGGAACAGTATCTAGTTCCTTCAATATTGTTTTACTGAATCAAATGATAGTATTTTATCGTTGCTGAAAACACTGAACCGAATATATAAACCTATACAAAGTCGTTAGCTTAAACAAGGGCGGTATCGTTCGTCCTGGTTTAATAATAGGGACCTTATTAAGCATGTAGGACGGCAACGCGACGACGACAGCCAAAACAAACTTCTTCAAATAAATTTTTGCGAAGAAGAGTTGTGTATTATCCACTGCATGTGTATATGAATTGAGTTCAGTTTAATTAAAGAGATTAAAACACAGGCTTTATGGTTAAAAACGCTTCTGCTGAGCAAATTTGTAGTTTCACTTGTCGCGTCTTGACTAGCCTGCGTGGCAGGCTCTATACATGACATGTTTGTGTTGTACACGAGACGTGAAAATCTCTGGTTTGCCGTTGTAAAAAGCCCTAAGGCCCGTTTCATACGCCGTACTTCACATGTGCCGAATACATTAAAAACAATAGATAATGAGCTAAAATGCCTGATTACCTATTGTTTTTAATGTATTCGGCACATGTGAAGTATGGCGTATGAAACGGGCCTAACACAAAGTCTCTAACTCCCGTGGGGCTTTTAATTATTCATTTCTTTTGCACGAGATCAGGAATATCATTGTGTGAATGGTCGTCGTCGTCGCGTTGCCGTTACAACTACCTGAAAAATACAAGGAGAACTTCGACGTTTCTAGCGAAGTAACTACTAACTAAATAGCATAGATATCTTATATACACTAGATAGTGCATCTAATTATTCTGCAATTCAAAAATTGAAGCCGTGATTGCAGACTCAGGATATTCCCATGAAATGAGAAGACTCGTATGTTTTCTATTTCTTAAACATGCAGGGAACTTAAACATTAAGTTAAACCTATTCCAAATACATTTTCAAACTATTCAAATGATGAAAGTTATTGTTGTTTTTTAAGCGTTTATTAGCGGGGAAAATCCAACATGGCCGCCATCTATTCGAATGGGAGTAACCGCTGGAATATTCTTGGCTTCAATTTTACTAAAAGAGATGCGCTATCTAGTTTATATAAGGTATATATGGATAGTTCTCCTTGTAAGGAATTAGTGGTCTTTTATTCCTTACCCATCGAGACCGCGTCTTTTAGAACAGTGTCTATTACATTCTGAAAAAAAAAAACAATGAAAAATTATTGTACAGAGAACTGTGTTATAAGGAACTGCTATATAACTTATATAGTTATCTCTGCATAACTATACTAAAACTATTAGCAGCTAATTTGTATGGCGCTTCTATACCGTGTATAAATAAAGTTAGTTTAGTCAGTTAGGTTTTCTACTTCATGAGGTTATAGGATTGAGGGGGCTCAAGAATACATCTGAATAAATCTGAATTGCTTTCGAACTTTTCTAGTTCTTTTGTGTGTGTTTGCCTTGCGTAGTGAACCAAGAGTGGACAAACCTTGCGAACTTTGGGAGAACATTTCAGAACTTATAAACCGACAGAAAGCAAAGTTGATAAAACTATTTAGATTATTTCTACATTTTCCTTACCAAATCAACATCATCTTTCTGCAGCGAACAATAAGGATCGTAACTTTCTCTGTTTTCCTTCAAGCTCGTGTAATCTTCCTCGTCTGAGTCGATTGGCGCAGCTTCTTGGATTAAACTGAATCTTGTCTGGGCTGTGAAACGAACTATAAAAGAAATATAAAATCCATTCAATTCCGGTCGTATTGGGCGTTGTATAGTAGTACAGATCTCTCACATCCGGAATTTGGATCGTATCCCACGTAATCCGCATGGGCCAATGTCCACAATTTTTGGGGTTGCTATCTTTCCTTGTCAGAAAACCTAACAAACTAAACAACGTGAAAAATGACTTTCCAAAGTTGTAACTATAAATTTACTATTATACACACGACTACAGTGATAGTAAGTATTATTATTAGCATGACAAAATTACTGGATGCTGATTGGTTGAAAGGTGTACAGTTAATGATTTTCCCAAATGCCAAAACAATTAAAATGGCGGAAAGGTATTTAAGCACAAATAAAATTGCCCTTGAGAAACTTAAAGAAAAACAACTAAATGAAAATACAAACAAAAGTGCCATATTTTGGTTAAAAGTTAAAAGTCTGCCAGGGCTGGGCTTTGGCGAGAAAATATGGTGTTGAGTTCGAGAATTATCCAATTTTGTAATTGACTAATTGCAGTGTGGATTATAACGGTCGGCAATCCGCTATTTGCCGAACAAAAACACCAAATGGCCGATCAATTTCATTCTGCACGGACATTTTGTCCGATCAAATAAAATACACTACACTGTTCATTTAAATTGAAGGTAGTTTATGTGAAAAGTACTGTTTGAAAAGCATCTAACTATGCCTACGATACCATGCAATCAATAAATATTTGGATGAAAAAATCACACAGAGGAAACATTGTCATTGAGCTTCTCTTTTAGCAAATACTCTCTCAAGTGACCAAATCTCCATAGTTACAGTCCATAGCCGGCGGCGTTTACAATACTTACTACTTACAAAAATATGTTTCATTTCTATAAGCCGTAGGCCTAGCTATATATTAGAAAATACCTTTACTTCCTAAAGAAACACAAACAAAGTGAAGACGCGGAGGACGTTGCTAGTTTTCTGCATGCAAATGTGCAATCAATAATGGTACGTCGATCTGTAGCACTGTCACGTAAAAATGGTTGAAATAGTTGGCTGATCATTCTTGGCCAATGTCCGAGCAACAGTCTCGTTAATCGGACATTTGTCAGACCTAAGCAAAAACGTTATAATCCACGCTGACTAATTGTACCCGCAATCGTATGACCACCTATAAAAATTTCACGGTGCGTACTCTTTCAGAATTGGGAGAGGCACTGTCCCCAAAATGGCGGATAAGTCCAGCATGAGAAAGGCTAATTAATTGTCTCAGTCCCATGCGAGATGTGTGCTACCAGTTTGATGTTATACCTTTTGGTGGTGCTTCGGTGTTAACAATAGATGGCTTTGCTTCCGGTTGTTTTCTGTAGAAAAAGAAAATAAATATAAATAAAAAAGATATCAATTGCTATGGGATTAAAAATGGCGAAAAACCAAAGCACCAATCGTTCCTAAAATCGCACCATGTTGAGTCCTAGTTAAGTATTTCACACTACTGGTAAATCCGTTCCTAGCGAACAGGTACTATCGTACGTCTTATTATTTTAACCTGCATACCTGGTTCTATGACGCACAAAGCATGCAGCCAGGATGATAATGATAAGGATGACCAAACCCACTCCAGCAGAAACTCCGATAATGACGGGCATTGAAACATTGTATGTGTAGTTTTTATTCACGACGTTCTTCTTCGTGGAAGCGATCTCTGTTCCAGACCCAACTGTAGGTAATCCCTAAGTATATAAATACATGTAACATACAGGGATAATGTTGAAGGATTTGAAAATGGAAATTTCGAGTGTAAATTGACCACTTGCGTAATAGACTAAATTTTGATCTAGACAAAAATTTCATCACAGCTTGAAAGAACATCACAAAATTAGAAATACTCCAAAGTTTTGTTGCAAAATGTTGTAAAATGCGGATAATATAGCCTTGCAAAATTTGCAATTTTCAGTCATTTTAGATTACAAACGGGAAATTGATACCCAGCCCCCCAGCCCCCCGGTTGCTACGGCCCTGCACATGCACTTTAAAACACCTAAGTTAAGATAATAGAGAGAGTACCTCTGGCTCAGTAGGTTTTAAAGAAGGACCACTCTTTTCTGTTTTTGAATATATTTTCGTCGTTGCAAGGCTGGACGTCATTAATGAAGATGAATCTGGAAAAGTGATAAGAAAGATAGATTTTTTATAACCGAATTGTCTTATGAATTTCATATCAATTTTATTGGGTTAACCAATTGCCTTGGTTATGACGCATGATCAGTGGCTATGCTATACACCAGGCTAGGATGTCTTGTTACACTTGCCTTGTGGAAGTGCTTTCCACCAAAGCGACCTGGGATTGATTCTCACGGCAGTTTATAGGTAGTTCTACGGTCATAATAAAAGGTTGCAGATTCATTAACCGTTCACACGTCGAATTATCTCGGATTCATACACTTCCGGATAAAATGTTTGTTTTTTTTCTGCGGATTTAAAATTCTCAAACACTGCTGAAAACCGATATGAAATACTTCTTTCTTGTGCTAAAACATTTCAGTTTCGTAATGAATTCGGGATCGTTCACTTAATGTAAACGGGTGCTAACGGTTCTTAGACCAGAAATAGAAAAAATAAAATTTCTCGGAACCCGACTTTTTCTTCCACTTTGACCCTATCATACACCCATCTCTTGTAGAAACACTAGAAAAGATTGCCCTCAATCCCAAAGAACAACGCAAACGTTCATGTCGTAACAGGGGGCACATAGGAAATCAACTTCACACCCTCGGGTATAAATAGTATAATCAGTTAATTAATTACGGTTTTGTGATTGTCCTACAGTAATACTGGACAATATGGGATCACTAGCACAGAATGTATCATAACGCGCAGTATACACTGTCATTGAGATCATCGCACGCTTGGATGTAATATTTCAAATCCGACTATGAGGACTTCACTAGATTTCGAGTCCGCACAATTTGATCAAGTCCGAGGCGAAGCCGAGGACTGGATCAGAGTGCGAGGACTTGAAATCTAGTCCAGTCCGAATTGTAGGATTTGAAACTACTGAAAGTGAGGTGAATTAATTTTGATCCAGTCCTAGGATTGGATCAATATACTTCACCAGGTATCCAGTATTATTATGTGAGCAAAATAAAAAAATATGGTTGGCTTGAGATCAAGGACAAGGTATATTTTCCGTTCAAGTGAATCTCTGCAGTGTAAAATTGAAACGTAACAATAAAAGAACATTTCTTCACGCAAAGCAGAATATTCACTTACCAAGACTTTTATGTCCTTTACTTTTAAATACGAAGCAGCCACTATAAGGATGGTCGACATTCGTGCGACAAGAAACATGTAACTTTATTAAAAGCCCAAAATAAAAGTCGTCTGCATGTTTTTCCCACTATAGAAAAAAAAGATTAGGATCTTTATATCGCAACGGTAAAAATTAAAAAAGTTGACCAACATGAGTTTTTTTACTATGGGGATATACCATATTTCTTCTACTGAAGAATGACCCAAATATCACCAATACCAAAATCATTTTTGGGATCGGTAACAGTGCTTTAGACTAATTTAGTTGAACTCACTGTCAATATAATTATTAAAATCTGCATGCAGATGTAACAAATTACAAAAAATTGAAAGTAACATTGTGATGGTAACTACTGTAGTTCTTACATCTAAAAGTAGGTAACGGTCGATTTTGCCATAACCATCTTCCACAGAAATACGTAATATATCACTGATATTAAGCGGTAGCGCAACCCATTCCCCTTGACTGTTGAGGAAACTTGTATTGTTTTTAATTTCACAGGTTATTAAATTAGCCGCTATACCCTGAGCTATTGTCCGGCCACGTATTTTCTTAGAACCGGTTTCCATGAAATTCAGTGTAGGCAAATTCGTGTTCATGAAACCCTCAAATGCGTCTGTTATACCCATGTACTGACAGCCTATATAACGATAAAAGCACATTTATTTTTCTGGTATTTGCAGTGGAAATTTCAAGCGAAAAAGAATATACATATTCTAGTTGGAACTAAGCGCCAAAACTACGTACTATAGTAAGGGGCGGGGTGGGAAGTGTGTGTGTGTGGGGG